AAAAAAAAAAAAATAAAAATAAAAAAGAATGGAGATGGGGTTTCAGACACGAGCAGGAAAATACCAGTCCTCCCAGCGAGCTGAGCTGTGTGTGCTGATGGCCAGGCTGGAGCTGGGCCCCGAAACTCCACTCTCCTCAAACCCCCAACCTCCTCCTCACCCTCTGCTGATGGGCTACTTCCCTGAGAAAGAGAAGCCACCAGAGGGAATGCCACACGTCCTACCCTGTCTCCAACTCCACTCTGCCGCCCCCGGCCCCTCTCCACTCAGGATCCCCACAACAATTCTCCCCTCCCCCACATGGAGGAATCAACTATTTTCATTCTAACTGGATCATTCCCACTGCCATTTCTCCCACTAAAACTAAACAAAACAGAAAATCCTCTCCTGACCTCACCTCCTACTCCAGCTACTCTCCAATTTCTCTTTTCCCCATTCGGGCAAAACGTCTTCAAAAAGCGAGGAATAGACCCAATCCAGTTCTTCTATCCCTCTCTCCTAAACCTCTCCCATCAGGATTTTACCCTCATCCACCCAAACTGATCATCATCACGTGACCTCCCCGGTGCTACGTTCAAGGGCTGATTCTCAGTCCTCACTGTACCTGACCATCAGCCACATCTGACACAGGGATGACCCTCCCTGAAACTCGTCACTCCCTTGGCTTCTAAGGCTGCACTCTCCCAGTTCACTCTCCTCATCCTGGCAGCCCCTGCTCAGTTCCTCCTCTTCCAGACTCTTCACCCAGGAGCACCGGGGCTCCCTCCCTCCTGTGTCTCATCCACAAGGCAGCAATGCACGACCTGCTCCACTCTCGGCCCAGGCTCGGCTCCAGCCCCAGTCACACACACCTGCTTCCCAACATCTCCACGTGCACGTCACACTACCAGCTCAAGTGATGTCTGAAACCTAATTCTAGCCTTTTCTCACATCTGCTTTTCCCACAACCTTCCCCATCTCAGTGGAATGGCAACCTCGTTTTCCTAGTCACGCAGGGAGCCTCTCAAGTGCCTTCCACACGGAGGCAAAATCACCTGATTAACATCTGAGGAGAAACACTCAACGTGGAAAACACATGTGAGCCAGTGGAGGAAAGAAGCAGCAGCACAGAAAGAAGTTTATGTCACAGCCCAGGGGTGAAGAAATACACTTCAATGGCAGCAGGGAGGGGCTGAAGGGGGAGGGATTAAAACCACGCAGTAAAGAACATTACCAAACCTGAGCAATCGAAGCGGGTAACAGCGGAGGGAAAAGAAGTTTCAAATGAATCCCATTTTTCTGGACAGAGTGACAGGCTGGACGATGGAACAAAGAACCAATAGGGACAAGAGGAGAAGGCATAGGTGGGGGTGCAAATTATACTTTTGGGATCTATTGGATCTATCCACTTGAGGTGTTCTGTGGACAAACTCCGTGGAGATGCTGGCAGGAGGCTGGACAGAGGCATCTGGTCCTCCCGGGAGAACCGACAGAGCTGGCGGGTAAGCACGGGAGGGTCAGCTCAGACAGGCGTGAGAGTCGTGAGCCAAGGGTGGAAGAACACACGAGGAGGGCAGAACAAACAGTCAGGAAGAGAGCTGGAGAGATTTGTCACAGAAACCAACAAAGGAGCCTCTGCAGGTAGGAGAGGCGGCACAGTGCTCCAAGGCAAGGACTGGCAAGTCTCCACCGGGTTTGTGTGTTAGATCACAGGTAACGTTTACGGGGCAGGTTCAGGGCAGAAGCAAGACTGTTGGCTGCAGGAGAAGATGTGAATGGGAAATAAGGAATCTTTGCCAGAGACACCACTGCACAGTCCACTGTGCAACCCAAACAGATTGCCAGAGAGAAACACTCCAGGAGATTATCTGAAGGCTGGAAGGGCATTCCTCCATGATCCTCATTTTATCCCTGGATAGAGCTGTGAAAACAATGTATCTATGGGACGACAATGGCTTACTCACCAGGAAAGTCACGTGCACTGAGTGCTCCCTGGACAGTATGTCCTTAGCTTACAGAAGGCACAAGTGAGGGACCAACCGAAATGGGTTAGGGGCTGTCATTTAGGAAGGCTAGCCACAATTACAGTAAGATGATCAAAAAAAGCTGGAAATCTCACAAGGACACAAAAGTACTTGGGCAGGTCAATGCTGAGTCAAGTAATGGGTGGTATTTGTCATTGTTTGCAATGAACACGAGGTGCACTGGCACTCCGGCTGTAAGAGCTCTGAAGGATCATGGTATCTACGTGTATGACTGTGACAGATGCTCGGTGGTGATCTACTACTCTGTGTTTTCCCTCACCATATCTTTTATCTAGCCCTACTTTCACACTTTAAACTTTGGACTCTTCACTTCCTAAGGTGTGTTATAAAACAAGGTACGGAATAAATAAGCAAACTGAACAACTCACCAAAGATGTATTCATTTTCTGCTGCTCTTGGAAAAACGTGGAGGACTGTGAAAGCAGAGGCAGACCTGAGGAAGGAAAATGCAGGCAATGAACTTACAAGTGATTTGGCCTGCCAGGAAGTACCTCCTGCCTAAGAACCTACCCAGAAAGTTCCATGAAAGATACTTATGGGAGACGGTCCCTTTAAGCCTTCAGAAGTGACTGGATAGCAGATTAAGGAGGAAGCACCCACTTGTACACGCAGAACTCCACACGATTATGTGGTGAGGGAGAGGATATACTTCTCATTACAGAGTGAACATCAAATCCTATTGAAATAATCGTCCATCATTAAATAGAAGATAAAAGAAACTCTATTATAGTCATCGATTTTCTTACTAACTCTTTTAACTACTTAAGATCACGAAATCCACAAGATGTTCTGAGTAATCAGAGACATTCAGGTATGGCTCAGCCTTTAAATTATTTCTACAAACTGCAGCCTGCTGCTCAAAAGGATCTTTCCTTAAGAAATGTACTTTGGTTTAAATTTAATACAGAAGACAGAACACTTGGCCCAGGAGTTGAGTCCTTTTCACAATCCCACCTACAGACCCGGCGACCTTGGACAACTCTCCTCCCCTCTCAGGCCCAATCTCCTCCTCTGTCAACCGAGGCTGCAGGACAGAACCCGGCAGAGTTACCCCGCACGGCACGGTGTGATTCCACAAGGGCAGAACTGAGGGGGAATCACTGCACACTGCGATCAGAGCACAAAGGTGCTGGTGGACCTTTAGAGACACATTTGGAATCGGGAGAGGGCAGGAGAAGGAGGAAGGGGTGTTGGGCTGTGCAGGGAGGAGTGGACACCGCATGTCCGTAGCGCAGCCTGTGGCCCTAAAGCCCCAGAAAACCTTGAACTCACGAGTCCCAGTGCAGGGTCCACCCGAGAGCAGAGCGCCCCTGCCCTCCAGCACAGCCACGCGCGTCTCCGGGAGCGCTCGACCCTCCCTGTCGCACACTCTCGCGTCCTCGGCCTGGGCCAGTTCCCCCGAGCCCTGCTCACTGCGGGCGGGAAGATCGAGAACCGCCTCGAGGGCGCACGCCCACCCCCTACCCCGCCGGGACGCGCTCATCCGCCCCAGGCTCCCGAGGCCCGGGCCGGGGGCTGCTCCTCCGGGGCGTTTCCCTCCCGGGGTCCCCTCCTCTCCCCCTACCAGGCCCCAGTTCCCGAGAAGCCTGCTCCGGGCCTACGGGACACACTCACTTCAGGCGACCGTCCCTCCCGGGGCCCAACTCGGCCTCACGGGGCCGCACGGTCCGAGCCTCCGCCGAGCCGCCGCGAGTGCAGACGGACCGGGCCCGGGCCCCGCCGACCCCGCGCCGCC